TTCGCACCACAGCTCCAGCTAGAGGGTCATTTGCAAGATTTTGACGATTAATCACACATTAAAACGGTGTAGCTATCTTGTAGGCTCCATGAGGGAGTGAAGGTTGCTGACGTCTCCCCAGTCCTTTCGGCTCTCCTGGAAACCTGCAACCTCAGGCCATTGACCAGATCGGGTTGGGAACGCAAGGCAGTGGCCCAATATTTGCAACATTCGCCTTACGGGTATTGGCAGCGAGCGTACCTTTACCATCCGATGAACCAGCTGCCGCGCAAGCAACTGAGGATGTTGACATTGGGTTTGATGATGCCATGAAGGTACTTAATGCACCGGCGTTGCCAAAGCCACCGACGTTCAAGGGATCAACGAAATCCAAGCTTTGCGCATTTATGCGCGAATATCAACGATACATGTCGCAAATCATGGCATTGCAATCAACGGGTTATCGTCCGTTTTTGATGTCAGTCGGCGGGTGTATTGACCTGTTTTCAAAGCGACGCATCGTTATGTTTGACTTTGGGAAGTCACATGGCAATGTGACAGAAGCCGCGTGGGTGGCCTGGTTCATGGAGGCCCACGATTAAGAACCTGTTGAGTTGGATGCGCTGAAGAAGCGCCTTAGGTGATCGTACAGTTCGACACCAAGATCCTCGACGCAGACAGTCGAGTGAGTCGAATCCTTGACAACTTGATGAAACCCTCAAGGCGGATGGCCAAGAGTGGGTGCTCCATCAAGATGGGAAGTTGGTGGTGGGAATCATCACCAAAGCGATCAAGCCAGCATCAGTCCAGCTGGCCGTGACGAAGCAGCTGCAACTGCAGCGGAACAAAGTGCTCAAGTCAGATGTGTTTTGCTACGTCAAGTGGCTGCGGCAATTCGCCATTGGGTACCAGCTGTATGGCGGCATGGAGGAAGAAAAACCTTCGAAGCTACCGGCAGAGGAGCCGCGGAAGGAAAACTCGCGGCCTCGTCCACGTTTCAGCCCGGTCCGTGAAGAAAAGCGGCCCAGTGGCGTGTCTGTCGCGCCTCCTACTTGGTGTGCCGATAAAATAGACGGGTTGCCAAAGCGGCCGAAGCCCAAGTGCCTGAAATGTCAGTCAACGGCACACCGAGTGCGGGAACACCCTTGCATTACAGATGCCGAAGTAAAGAAGTTGATGGACGACTTTCATCAGCCGCGCCGTCGGTCGGTGAACTTCGTGTCGAGCACGAATCCTGCGAACAGCATGGAGTGCCAAGCGTCGATCGAGGACTTTCTCACGCTTCCTAAAGTGTTGCTGGACTCTGGGTCCGACGAGACGTTGGTGTCGGAAGGCCTCCTCGTGGGACAGACGGACGCCGTGGCCTATTGCCAGTCCGTGGTGAACCAAATGTTCGGCGAACTGTTGTACGCCGGGGTGCTGGGTTAGTTGGACGATCTGCTGGGGTACGCAGACAGCTCGGACAAGGTGTTTGTGTTGTTGGACAAGGTGCTGTCCATCTGCGAAAGTTCTGCCTCAAGCTGCAACCGAAAAAGTGCGATTTCTTCTTGAAGAAAGCCACGTGGTGCGGAAAAGTGATTTCCACCGAAGGGATCTACCATTCCCCTAATCGAGTTCAGGGCATATGTGCACTGGAGACGCCAACGTCTGGCGCCGATCTGTAACAATTTGTCTGCACGAATTGGATGCGAAGCTCCATCCCAGCTACTCGGAACTGATTGATCCGCTGCGGGGCCTGTTGGACGTAGCGGCGAAGGCCGCTGGTGGGTCGAAGAAAACGGCGCTTGTGCGAATCAAGTTGGCTGTCGTCCGTTGGGCGTTCGAACACAATGTGTGTTTTGCAGCGGTCAAGGACACGTTGCGGCAAATGGTGCCGCTGTCGCATCCATCTGCAGACAAGATCATCTGCCTTTACACCGATGCCAGCGACACGCCATGGGGTGCCGCCTGCACCCAGTTCCCGCCCGAAGACCTGGAGTTGCCCGTGGAAGAACAACGGCACGAGCCGTTGGCGTTTTTGAGTGGTGGGTTTGGCGGGGCAAGTGCCCGGAGCGGACGGTGGAAAAGGAAGGGTTTGCGATCGTCGAGTCGTGCAAACGACTGGAGTACCTGCTGCTCCGGCAGCAGGGATTTCGAATGTTCACTGACCACCGCAATTTGCTGTACATCTTTTAACCCGCTGGGTTACAACAGCAACATGGCTCGGTACCAAACCCACACGTCCCAATGGTGGGCTATGGTGATGACGAGCTTCCCCTACACCGTCGAGCATGTGGCGCGGGAAGCGAACGTATGGGCGGACCTGCTCATCCAGTGGGTGCCGCTCCATTACCTGCGGAAGTGGCGAGAGTGCGACAACTGGTTGTTGTCTCGCCCCTATAGAAGGCAGCCTGGAAAGCTGCCGGTGAGGACGTCCCCAATGTGACATGGAGCGTCAGCGACGAGTATTACGTGACCGTCGCTGGGAAAATTTGGATCCCTGAGGCCGCAGTGGATCTGCAGCAGCGGATCTGCATCATAGCCCACCAAGGCGTGGCGGAGTGGACGTGACAACCCAAGGCGTACTCGAGCGGTTTGAGTGGCGAACCGCAAAGGAAGACCTGAATGCCTTTGTGGGCAGTTGCTTACACTGCCTGTGTGTCGACGGCACGATGGTGCCGAGCCCCTGGGGCGCACGTGCATGCGGAGCGCCCAAATGAGCTCATCCACTTCGACTGGCTCCAACTGCCGCCAGCCGCGAATGGCTGGAAATATGTGCTTGTCGTCAAGGACGACATGAGTGGGTTTCGTCGTCTGTTCCCTTCGGCAACGGCCGACGCGGAAAGCACGGTGAACGCCCTGATGGATTGGTTTGCGACACATGGCATTGTGTCGTCATGGGTTTCCGATGGCGGAAACCATTTCAAGAACGAAGTCGTGGGCAAGGTCAAGAGGATGATTGGTGCCCATCACCACATCACAACGCCGTACACGCCGTGGGCGAAAGGCACGGTGGAAGTCGTTAATCGACTTATCCTGCGAGGGTTGAAGACCCTGACCAGCGAATGAAGATTTGTCCGGACGAATGGCACCGTGTGTTGGCCCTGGTACAGAGCGCGTTGAACGACCAGCCGGCGGACAGTCTCGGCGGTGTGGCTCCAGTGACGGCGTTTTAAGGCTTGCCGTCTACAACGCCTTTAGCTGGGTTGTAGACGGCAAGCCTTAAAACGCCGTCACTGGAGCCACACCCATGAGCTGTTGGACTTCCATCACATAGTCCGAGTCGACCAGCGATACGCGGTACGGACCTTTCCAGTTGAGTCCAACTTGTTGGGGAACTTGATGATTTTTCCCAATAGCACAAAATCGCCCAGCGCAAACTTCGCCAAGCGCACATGCGCTTTCTTCTCGCGGCGGCCTCGTGCTTGCTGCCGCAACTTCTCGCTTCGAACCGCTACGTCGCAGTGCCTATTTTCCATGGCTTGTCGCAGCGCGTCCATGTGCTTTTGACGCGCCTTCGAGAGCTTCGCCACACCACTTCCGCTCAAGGATCTTGAAATTTCCACTCAACAACAATCAACAACAAGAGTCAGTTTCCGCCACAAGTGTGAGCTAGCTTCATCGAACAGGAGTCGTACCTCTTCAATTTGCGCAAGATACTCGACTACCTGTTAAGCCCGTGTGGTTTCCGTTTGTTTACATGTAATCGAAACCTAGTGCTTACTTCAACCAAGTGGCTCGCGAAAACAAGGCAACGTTAATATGTAGAGCAATTGTTGTTGGCCAGGTTGATCCTGCCCTGCACTATAGAGCACGTCTCGGATGACATGAATGTTTCAGGCGACATCTTGAGTCGATGGGGCTCAGCTTTGGCGAATCAACGTGTTGAAATCATTCACTTGCCGATTCAAGTGGCATTTCAATTGCAAGACGAGTGCCTGACAGAAAGTACGGTCAGCGCATCCAAAGGTATATTGACGACTCCACAGGGCCTGCCTCGAAACCCCCCGTTGTTCCCTATGCAAGTAAAAAAGCTACTAGGTACATACTGTACAACAAGTATTTCCTATGGTCCATGTGCAAATCATGAGTATGGTTACATAACAAGTACGGCCCTGTGGACGAAATGTGTCTTGAGTAATGGCAAGTCTAGTACGTACGCTAGAATTCGCGCATGAAGGCACGTGCCAACCCGCCCCCCATCAGCCACCGGATAACGAAAACTGTGGTGTATATGAAGGTAACACCCTTTGCTGTTATTAGTACATTTCAGTATATCGAGACTCTCTTATATGGACAAAACGGAGGTGTTTTCACTTATGCTCTCGGAGGTCGTATTCGCCACTCTCGATATAGACATGTGAAAGTTAACTTACATATTCGCACGCGAGGCTTGCTGGGGGTATGAAGCGAATGCCTGCTTAGGAAAGATAAGAATACGTCTTTTTTCTAGTCTTTATTATTTTTTTGCATGCAATATCTACTTCTTTTTTGTGGGGTTTCTCGTTGTTTTCACTTGCTACATCTACATCTATGCAAAGTTAAGGCCGGGGCGCCAATGGCTTGAAGCGAGCAATGCGGCTGAGGATATGCAATCGCCACACTGCCATGTCGTTATGCTCAAAAGTGCCAGTGCTGTTCGTCTGAATATATTGCTTTGCTGCAATACAAACAAAGACGCCGCAATCGTAATCGTTGGGTCGCTTGGGTCCAGGAATATCCATCTCGTGTATTTGACCTCGACGCTCATCCAGAGATTCGACAAAGCGTTGCTATTGCAACGGGTCGTAGCATCCGTAACGCTGGGTGACAAGATTGACAATGCCAAGCATCCAGTGACCAGGTACACAGATCGGAAAGATCACACATTCCGTGTGCAGCCCGTAGGACGACCTGCCAATGATTCGGGTGGCTTGCTCGAGACTTGAATCATTCGTCATGCTCTCATAGAAGTGCCTGTCCAAAAAGGCCACGCTCGGTGTAGACTGCACTAGCCTTTCCATGAAAAGGTCGATCACGTCCTCGCCAATCCAGGCATTCAACTACAGCAGCGAAGCCAAGTTGACATGGTGAGCCTGCGCCGTCGATACGTAACTCAATCTCTCATCGCGAGATAGGTCACGCCTCGCTTTGCCTTTGTTTTGAGGAGGCGGAGAACTCAGCGACAAGGTGGCAAGGACATCGCCGATGGGGGTGCTTGGATTCTGAAAGATGGTTGCGAGAACAAGTCCTCGGTACGCCCAACTGAAGCCTGTGAACATATCGCAGAAAGCACGGTGCATGGTAAACCTCGCTGCATCACCGCCAAAACACTTGACTTTGGTTGGACCCTGGCAACTTCAATTGTTGAAGGGCTCTTCTCCATTCGATCCAACACAGTCCGCTTTGGCCGAGCCATTGATATCTCGTTTGTTGCAGGAGTGCTCTCCATGAGGTCCAAAACACAGAGTTTGCGTTTGGCCAGCCGAGCGACTGCTACTGGAGCTGCAGGTAGAGTCGACTTCAAGGCGTAGAAATCACTGGAGCTGAACACGGCAGTGTTTTCGTTGCGGGATAGATACAGCGCAAACAGTTGCTCCACCCTCAAGCTCTCTGTAATTGTGCCGTTGCTCGGCTGAAAGTACTGAATGCATGCATTGGTCAGCGGCTTCAGTGCTGAAAACCCATCACGCTTGGTCAATCGGGAGATGGCGATGTATCTTTGTTGACAAGTGTTGACAACCTTGTTCGTCTTGGAGCCACGTGCTTTCCAATCCGCGACAACAAGCGATTCCATTGTCTCGCCTTGGATCTTGTAGATTGTCGAAGCAATTGCGTTGACAAACGGCAACTTCTGCAAGCTTAACTTCAATGTTCGTTTTGAACCACAAGGGCTAGGCGTCAACGTCACTTCAGTTGATCCCTGAGGCTTGAACATGAACACGGGGTACATGTCAGCTGGCAGACAGTCGTGCAATCCATCTCGAGGCAACACGTCAAAGTTCTTTGGACGTGTGACTCGAACAAACACAACTGCGGGTGTACTGTTGGGTATCAACACCTTCAACTTCGATCCAGCGTCCTCAACTCGGGATCCTGGGCGAATCTGACGTTTTTGTTCAGCACCACAATGTCCTTGTACGACCACCACAAATGGAAGTCCGTGTCTTCGCAGAGATCGAACTTCAAATCGGATACGTTCAGAAACGAGGAGAATTCATGAAAGTATTTAAGGTACGTAGAACTTCTTGATATTGTGCAAGTGACGAAAATCATATTCTCATGGCCTGGATCACTGAGATTACTAAAGTATAGTCAAAAATAGTGCATTGAATATCTTGAGATAGGTTAATTAATATAACGCATTTTGAACCGCCTTCGGAGCCCAAAAAGTACAGCAGGATGGCTACCTTCTTCTCGAAAGAATGGTTACTGTTGCGCGTTCGGTGTGCAATCATGACACCACGCAACGTGGCCACCAGCTTCGTGAATGTGGCCTGACCACAACGCAGAATAGCAAGGAACCGTCTCTCTTGCTGGGGGAGTCCCAGCATGCCGTCGAAGTCCACGTTGGTTATGGCGGGTACGTTGTACTTGACTTGATTGGACAAGGTCGCCACAGCAACACAAGGTGGCTGAAACAGCAGGAATGGTAGCAGTAAGCACGAGGTGGGCATTGGCCATTGAGATAAGAGTTTTGATTCATCAATACTGAAATTTGATTTCAACCAATAATATTTACTACACTGAAAAATATTCAGTACCAAAGCGTTGATAAGCGAGGAGTCGACGTTCCCCGACCAGGCCCTTCCTTACATGCCTTGGAGGTAGGGAAAAACTGACTTGTTTATGGAATTTGTAAGATGGCTGGCCTTACTTCTGATTATTAACCAATCAATATGCATCATGGTTTCTTTGCCATACCATAACGACTCGGACGTGAAAACCATTCGGACAGAGCTTCGGACACAGAAATATTTGAGGAATTAATACAATTGTTGCATACAAATTTCAAGCTTGCTTCACGTAATTAAAATAACGATGATAGGATAGGTACAGCGCAACTAGAGACTGCACGTCAACGACAACCGCAAGCCCTTACTAGTAACACGTAACCAAGTGGTCATGCTCAAATAGGTAAAGCGTTAATGATTACTACGTAGTACAAGCACTACTTCATCCTTCACGCTCGCAAGGGCTGCCAGTAACTACACTGTACTGCAGGTTCATCAAATAACATATGACAATTATAAAAAGAGATATTATATTCCAAAATTACCTTGTATATAAACTATATTGAGACAAGAAAATATAATTCTATTTGACTGAAGTATTCCGAATGTCGCAAGTCAACTTCTGCTACGAAATTCGATTACATTCTTCACGTGCTTTTGTTGGGCGATTTAGATTTGGCTCTAATGGCCTGTAAGCCGAGAACTGGATAATCGAAGTTAGTGTATGCGGTCGAATGAAATCGAAGTGCGTCGAACAATGCAAATTGAAGAATGAGAATTGAATCCATCGCAACACGGGTTAGGTTTAACACCGCAGCCAACCGACTACTCGTACGGTAAATTTATGCGGATGAAAGTGTCGTTCTGCAGTCATTTCCCAATTTCACTCGTAGCCGACACTTCCTCGGTGTTCATCAACACCATCCAATACAAGGAAATGAATCGCATCTAACATGTTTAGGAACTGTGGCGACGACGACAACAGCGACAATGACAACTACGGCGACAGCGACGATGACAACTGCGACGACAGCGACTTACGGTATGTTACTACATCATTCGGCAATATCAAAAAGTACCTCATTATCATATTACATATCAGCTGTAGTCATCCAAAGTACAGTACTGGTGTATTTCAAAACCATCCTACGTAATGAAATCTATCACTACTACTAACTTGTTTAGAACGGACACTCCAACCCGCGTGATCCAGACAGTGATAGAGGAGGGCGACAAAACTACTTCGCCCGTGACAACCCGAACCATCTAACACCAATGCCAGCCCTCTAAACATCAACCAGTATCAACGCTAACAACCATTGTTATATAAAACACGGTGTTTGTCAACACCATACAATGTGAAGAAATGCATGGTAGCTATAATAATGAATTGGAATAACGTTGCACTTCTAACAGTGGTTGTGATATCGCACACACAGCAACATAAACCACCAGTGCTACCTCGATGGGCGTCTATGCCCATAACTAGGAGAACAGTTATAAAGGCGGTGACCGAACCTTACAGTTAACATAACATACATGTTTCAATTAATGGAACTTCGTGCATTCTATTCTCTGCTGGATCGTTTTTTACCTTGCTTCTACATATGGTGAAACTTACAAATCAACAACACCTGCTATCTACTTCAAGGTGAGAATATCTATTAATAGAAGGATCGGATTTGAGATATTAACTAGACATCGCACATACC